TTGACTTTACGCCCGGCTACATTGCCGAACGCTAACGAGCACTCCCCACCTAGACAAGATGAACAGACATCAGGGGGTACCTGTCAACTCCTTTTATTTAATGTTCGGAAATGTATTTACGCATACCACCTACATGCATGCAGGTACCGGCAAAGCCAGTACTATCCACTAAAACCCAACCGAACTTCCCCCGTCTTAATGGGATGTCGCAGAATCGCTTACGCACTCAACCACGACGCCCCGACAATAGGCCGTCGAAGCAGACCACAACTATCAGGGGGTTGCTCCACAGTCCACTCTGCTATCAGAGAAGTTACACCGCCCTCCGAAGAGGGCCGCCTCCCACCACCCACCGAAGCGAGCCACCTCCCGAATGGCACTCACCGAAGCGGCTTTCTTGACTTCACGCCCGGCTGTATTGCCGGGCACTACTGAGCCCCCCCCCCCTCACCACGACAAGGTGAACGCACGTTTGTCTATCAACTACCCCAAGCGCTAAGGAACTTCAGTCCAAAAATATAGTTTACGAATTTAATAAAATAGATACTATGATTACAAACTTTCCTACATATAGGTAATATGTATAGTACATCTTTTATCTTTGATTCCTGATGACTATAAATTAAAATAATGTAAAATTTACACTTAAACAAGCGGTAAACTATTTATATATTATTAAGTAGCTGAAGTAATGTTAAACTCCTAAGCGACTATAATGAAAATCGCGTACTATAGCCGATCTAACTCCGCGTCGTCTTCAAAGTTTTAAATGAATTGAAAAGTTATTAAAGTTGCCAATAATACTATTACAAATTAAATATAAAGTAAGTCAGTTTTACCACAAAGACGCCATAAGAGCAAGACAATCCAATTTTTACTCGACTACCACAAATGTTTTCACCTGACTGCAAGGAAAGGATTGTTTTTCGCACCTATCTTAGTGTTTGTTTGTAATATTCTTTATTCCCTTATATCTTCCAAACCACTTGATAGATTTCTTTTATTAAGGTATCGTTAGATTCGTCTCAATAGTCCAAGTGTTCTTAGATAGGTGACATGAAAAAAAAATACCTAGAGGCTGCTAGATTTCACAATGTGACAAAGAAAAAAATGAAAACCGACGAACTATATCAAGTTGGGTATCGTTGAATAGGTATTTAAAAATCATCTTTAGGTTTCTTTCATCAATTTTCATTTTAAATAATAGTTTAGGATATATAATGATTTTAAGTTGGTTAATCACTCTCCTACTTAAAAAATACTTAAAAAGCTGTAAATAAATAAATAGATTATAAAAATAAAAAACCATACATACGAGTATGTAAATCTTGCGGCAAGGATGAAACGTGTATGTCTCCGACTGCATAATACTATACCTAGTCCATTGTGAACTTATTTTCCATCTTTTTAGTTAGCTTTTATGCAGTCGGATTTTTTTTATTTTTATAATATATTTATTTATTCTAGTGTTTGTTCTATGTATCTCTATACATATGTATATCTTTATGTATATTTCTACATTAATTTTCATGTTAGACTATTTATCTTAAAAAAATACTGGACTAACTGCCTCCTTCAAACATTTTGTAGGTTGTTGAAAAGATCTTTAGTGTACTAAAATAAACATAGCTACCAGTCAGTCTTTTTAAATTTTCTACAACTATAGTAGTTAAAAATATTATCATGTATGATGCCGATAAACGAATGCACTGCCATAAATATCATCAGTAATCGTGTTCCTCTGTAGAATGTAAATAAATCACGATATACACACGTCGACCACAGCGTCGATTGGACACCATTTATTTCACTTGCTTTAATAAAATCGCGCTACGTTTATACCGAATTCAATTTCTCTCGAACACGCTGTTGTTAAAGTTATTTAAGAGAGATAAATAATTTATTGTTTGGTTAAGTAATATACTTCTCTTTCGATTCTACCGTTCTTCTCTTTCGATTTTCAGGGTCTATATAGAAAAGTCGGGTCGAAACTCTAATACTAAGCTACTTTAAAAAGTCAGATCTTGTCATCTACGTAAATAGGTACCCAATTAAAAAAATAAGAATATACATGTAGGTATGTAATAAGATGTATGGTTTTGACAAAGAAATGGCTACTTTGTTTCTAGTCTATACATATGAAAAAATATGTAAATTAGCGAAATCTGGACATGAAATATTTTTTAAAAGCAATGACTATAACGTATTGTGTACAGAATATAGACCACAAAATAATAATTATTAAAAAAATTGTCTGTTTTCCTGTTTATCTGTTTGTCTGTTTGTGTGTGCGAGTTTCACGCAAAAAAATGTAGACCAATTTTAACTAAATTTTGCGTAGTGGTAAGTTATTACGAGTGTCGACATTGTACTACAAGAAAATATTTCATTCCCACGGGAAAACTCAATAACTGGCTCTATCGAGTCGTCCTTAGAAAGCTAATGCTGGCCTTAAAAGATACATGAAAACAATGTATTAGAAAATTGTTGGTCTTAAAAAGGCCTATAAAAAGTCCCCAATATCAAATTATATCTATTACCTGAGTGAGGTACAGTCGCAATACCTACTTTTATCCATACAAATAATAAAACAGTAAATTAGCGAAATCGATGTGCGCGTTTCACGCAAAAAGTACTGAACCGATTTTAACTAAATTTTGTGTAGAGATAACTTATTACTCGGATAAACATTCAGGTTACCTTTTACTACAGGAAAATCTTTCACTCGCACGGGAAAACACAACGTTCTTAGAAATTTATATGCCTATCGCTGGCTAAACCTTAAGAGATACCTACAACAAAACATTGTACTAGAAAATTGTAGGTCTTAATAAGGCCTATATACAAATCTGCAATAGCATAAGTCTTTCTCCTAAGTTACACTCGCAATAACTATTCATATCTATTTAAAACGTACGAAGCGAGGGTAAATCACCAGTCTTTCATAAAAACTTTAAACGTCAGTTGATATTTATTTATTACTAGCGACTTACCCTCGCTTCGCTCGGGTGCGTCCCTAGTTAAGTTTTGAGTTTTTTGAGCATGTAAATGTAGCCTAAGTTACTCCTTATAACATCAGCTATCTACTAGTGAAAGTCCCGTTAAAATCAGTCCAGCCGTTTCGGAGATTAGCCGGAACAAACAGACACTGACAAAAATATTAAAAATTGTTTTTTTCTTATAAGTACTTTATACAATTTCATATGTATTTAAATTTTAAAAGCTATTATTTAGACATTACAATCATACACTTCAATTTTATTTATATGTATGTATAAATAAATGTCACTTTAAAGCAAATCTGCTTCTCTGACTGACTGAAATGCTGCTCAAGAAGTTGTAATTGGTTACGTCGAGTTAATCTTTTTTTATGGATAATATATACATACGTTTTTTCTTCTCTCTCTCTTCCACATTTAAAAAAATACGAAATATTTCCTAGATTAAAAAAATTAAGTCACATTGCATAAAACAATATCATAAAATAATAAAACTTTTATAAAAAAAAATCCGACAGACTATTCAGAGTAATTGAATGTTGAATAAAATTCCTATTAATATTCTTTTCCAAGTCCTTATCCAAACTAAGGCATCATTTTCCGAAATAGAGATAGACTCATTGACGTTTAATGAATATTTTTATACAAGATTTATTACTGAACTAGCATTGCCCGCGGCTCCGCCCGCGATCAGGTGACAAAAACCAAATTCTTAGGTTTTACAGTTAGTATACCTAGTCTTACATTGCAGTTCTTGCATTTTTGCTCAGAAATGAGATATTTTCCCGCGGTAAAAAGTATTCTATATGTGGACCCGGATAACCAGCTATTATTATAACAAATTTCATCAAAATCCCTCCAGTGGTTTTTCAGTGATGCGGTAACAGAGAGACAGAAAAAAATTCTAAAAAGTATAGATTCGGCGTCTGTATCGATAATAATGTATATTTCAATAAGATTTTCCAAAAAATATTTAATGTACAGATTCGGCTTAGTTACAATTTTATTATATGTATAGATAAAACTCTATGAGACTCAATGATAAAAACTGGCCAAGTGTAAGTCGGGCCCACACAAGTTGTTATGACTACTATTTAATGTAAAGCCTAACTTTATTAATTTATACAAATATAAATTTGTAACACAAATACCTAATGAATTTTTGAACTCAACTTGAATTTTAGGGACCCTCGAAGCCCATGTTCATCTCTCACTTGACCAATTTATAATATTTTTTTTCTGCTTGCTCTTTGTAAGCAACAATTTGTTAATTTTATTATTTGTTTTTTTTTAATAGTTTATTATATGTTTGATATGTAGTTTCAATGCTTAAAATTATTATTCTTAACTATCTATAGAGCAGTGGAATATTTGTCCAATATTGAAAATTCTATCAATTACGGAGGATGATTTTTAAAAATACCTTAATTAGTCTGCACTCGCTGAACTTAAATATTTTGCGCTGACACGTCGCTTCAGACAAAGCTGTAATTAATTTCCCTATTAAACTGACGCTCGCAAGATATTGCCTTGCTTAAAGCACAGGAATCTAAAGTGTATAAAATGTATTTTAAATTTAATTTTAAATAACACTCCAGATAACCACGGATATGTTAGAAAGAAACTCCAAAGTTGCACATGAAGCCCAGGTGTCAACCACTACTATCAAAATTTATAAAAAAAGTATAAAATCATTTCCAACAAACAGATGCTCACAAGCGAAGCGACCGCGAGCGTTATGAATCAAACGTGGCCAACGGATCCATAAAAATAAAGCTTAGTAATAACTAACGAGATACAATAATTCAATTGTGATGTTTAGAATGTACTGTACCAATGAAGGCGTCCAAATTTTTCGAATTAGGTAAAAGTTTAACGTAGATTAGGTATAGACACTGATGATAGTCTAGACTGTGGAGATGGACGTGTTGGGGTGGTGTTACGGCGGAGTGTTGATGACTATGTGATTGTGGAACGGTGTGAGGAAGGCAGGTGGGCAGCATGGCGGCAGTTGCCGGGCTCTACGGGCTAGGCGACGAGCAGCGCGGACGACACCGGCGCGGCCAAGCCGCCGCCGCCGAGCGCTCCGAGTCGAGGGACGACAACACAGAGGCGTGAGTTATTATATATATGTATATACATTTATTTATATATTTTTTGGACTAGGAAATTTAGTTTTAGCAAAAGCTAGCTTCCCTTGTCTACTTCCCTTTCACAGAATATCGTGATAAATTATTTGTATCGTACGGTTGTCGTACGGTGGGTGGATTCCGGTCTTCGGAGTCCATCCTTCTTCAATTCAGCACCTGAGTGTTTCCTGTATCTTTCTTAGGTATTTCCATTTATTTACGCGTAATCGCCTAAGTGTTCATAATCTACTGTTGTTGTTTACCATCAGATAGGCCGTGTGCCTTTCTTCTTTCCCATGTTTGTATAGGTAATAATGTTACGCTCTATGAGTTCGGGGATCGGAAATTAAAGCACGTCTTTTGCACTATCGATGGTTTATTACTCCTCATTAACAAGAGTGGCTTTTGGAGATTTACTAACACACGCGATATATAAATATTTCTGGTTAAAATCAGTCACTGGACACTAGTTTTCACCACTAGATACACTTCCACTATAACTTCACTTAATTTTTCTTCAGTTTTAACTTTTTTTGTACCTCCTCTCAATCTTCACTTAACTTCGAAATTCAATTGATCTCTCGACATATTGTCAGCCATTTTATATACATAGCAAAGAACATTCTAGTATTCGAAAATTCGAAACCTTTCCAGTCATTTCGAATGTTTTGTTCCACTTTCACTCTTACACGCGGCAATTTACAATTATCTGTTCTTGTCTGAATTCAAGTAATTTCTATGCCTCTCTCGAAATGTTTTGACAACTGTTTTAGGATGCATAAAGCATGCTTCAGACGTGTCTTTTAAATTATTATTTTTGGTGTAATGACGTTACACTTACGCACTGTCCATTACGCGACATAATAAGGTATTGTGAATAAAAATCCACATTCAGCAAAACTATCGAATAAAATCTCAAGAAAATATGTAGACGAATTGAATAATATCTCGTTTATGAAGCCAGTCAAAAAAAGTTAACTTTGTACGCACATTTCTATTTTCAAGTCAAATAGAAATAGAACTCGTAAAATCTTGAGAATGGTAAAAAATATACTTTTAAGTAGTATGTAGTTGTTATTAGAATTTAAAATAGAAATGTTATAAATAAAAATATAATAATATTTTATGTTGTACTATTAATTATAATTGGCTTAACTGTTAATCTTTAAATTAAGTAATCATTATTAGTTGTCTTAAGCTTCTTACGTATGTTGAATGTTAAAGAAAAATTTAGCCTTTAGTATAAATGAGTAAAAAATATTTAGGCTATTTCATAAATATTACTATAAATAGATAAAAAAAATATATTGTAAGTGAAACCCGTTGATACAACCAAAAGATTTTATTATGTTTGAAATATTTTCTCTCCAGATTGGTTTACTATTGAATAAGAAATATTATCCCTGACTTTTTGAGAAGGTTTCGTTTTTATAAAGTTACTCTGGATGACAAATAAAGTAACGTACTTTGTAGTATATCTTCCAATACAAGTACTGGTAAGAAGTGAATATCTTTTTTTCTTAGCGACATACCATAATTTAAGAATAAGCTTCTTAGAAAAGATTCGTAGAAAGGTTTAAGTTCACGCCCTTTCCTGAATAGTTCGTCAGCTGGGCGGCGGTGTCGGTTTTGGGGACGTCTGACTTGTGTAACGTCTTTATATAATTATATTATATATATAAATATGTTCTAGTATAACTAGCGTTAGGGGAGTAATGGGAGATCGGAACTAACATCATTACCGGCCCAAATGTCAACCTCACCTGCACGCGCCTGCATTCGGCGGCGGCACAATATGTACCGTGGTACTCCCTGCTAGATAACAGACGAGGCTCTGACGACCGAATTAGTAGCGGTATAACTACTCACCTAACTGAAATATTGGTTAGAAGAGGCTACAGCAGCCTAGAGGAGTAAATAACCTCTAAAATGTCTGATGCAGAAGGCAAGGGGAAACCACTGCATTAAGATTCCCTAGTAAATCAGCATGGAAAAGTCTAATATAACCACGGCCCCGAGTTTCCGGCATCCCTTCGATGGGACAGGGGTGCGAAGAATCTCCGGGCGACCATTTAAAATAGGAACATGGAATGTTCGTAGTCTTAACAGCCCAGAAAAGATATATAATGTGTGTAAGGAAATGGATCGACTACACATTGACATCCTTGGATTGAGCGACGTTCGATGGAAACATCAAGGCGTACATCGAGTGGATGGTAACCATACCATGTTTTATTCTGGGTCAGAAGAATCGTCGAACATGTACGGTGTAGCAGTAATTGTAAACACAAAATCGCTAGGCACACACGTCACATTCGTGCCTGAATCAAATCGTGCAATGATGATTCAAATTCAGTCAAAACCCAGGAATTTAAATATTATCCAACTTTACGCCCCCACTACGGAAGGTTCAGATGAGGATGTCGAAGAATTTTACAGGCAGGCGGAATTACTAATAAAAGCCACCAAGAAGCATGATATTAACATCATATTAGGAGACATGAACGCCAAGGTCGGTCGAAGAGAGGTGAAAGGTACGGTGGGAAAGCATGGACTGGGTGAAAGAAACGACAGAGGAGACAGGCTGGTTCAGTTCTGTCAAGATCAAGACCTTGTCATTATGAACACATACTTTCAATTACCACCTAGAAGATTGTACACATGGACTTCGCCTCGTCATAGGCCGGACCAGATTGTTCGAAATCAAATCGACTACATTATGATCAATAGTCGATTCAGAAACTGTGTGAAGAGTGCTAAAACGTACCCAGGAGCTGACATAAGATCGGACCATAAACCGGTGGTTGCAGAAATCTTACTTGTCTTAAAGAAGATACGTAAACGACGGATCAATGTAGTCAATATACGGAAGATAAGTGACAAGAATTGCAGATCCGAGGTAGTGCGAGAGATCAATGAATGGGCTGCGGAGGCTAAGCAATCCCATGAGAATGCTGAACAGCAATGGTACAAACTAAAAACCAAAGTACACAAAATCAATGCAAATATTCTGAAACCAGATAAATGGGTCGCAAAGGAGCCATGGATGACTGAAAAAATATACCAGCTAATGGAGAAAAGGAGACTTCACAAAAATGACGACAAGTTATACAAAACCATAGACAGAGAAATTAGAAGAGAAGTGCGCTATGCCCGCAACTCCTGGTATCGCAAGAAATGTGATCATCTGGAAGTACTCCATAACAAACATGATGCATTTAATCTGCACAAAGAGAGCAGAGCCATGGTAGGAAGAAAATACCTTACGCACCAATTAGTAGACGCAAACAATCTCCCGGTTTTGGACCTTGAAGAGAAGAAACGCATATGGGAGCAGTATATTAAGAACATCTTTTCAGACAACTTAAGTAGCTTGATTGCCAATAATAATGCACAAGAGGGACTTCCAATTCTAAAAGATGAAGTTAGAAAAGCATTATTTAAGGCAAAGACAGGAAAAGCAGCAGGTCCAGATAGCGTCAACGTAGAGGTGCTTAAACTGGTGGATGAAGAAAACATGGGTGCCTTAACAAAGTTTCTTAACAAAGTTTCTAAACCTGGTGTACGATACAGGCCAGATTCCGGATGACTGGTTAAAATCTGTCTTCATTACGCTCCCCAAGAAGCCCAATGCGAAAAAATGTGAGGAGTTCAGGACGATCAGCTTAATGAGCCAAGTACTGAAGCTATTACTCTCAATTATTCACGAACGCATTAGGGTAAAATGTGACGAACAACTGGGTGACAGTCAGTTTGGTTTTAGATCCGGAGTGGGAACAAGAGAGGCGTTGTTTGCCATACAGGTTTTGGTCCAAAAATGCAGAGAAATGCAACAAGATGTCTTCCTTTGCTTCGTCGATTATGAAAAGGCATTTGATCGAGTACTGCATGATCGTCTTCTCGAGATATTAAAGGACATTGGCCTCGACGATAAAGACATCACAATCATAAAAACCCTGTATTGGAATCAACATGCCACTGTGAGAGTGGACGGAGAGGAAACCGATGCTATTGTCATTCAAAAAGGAGTAAGACAGGGATGCATACTATCACCTCTTCTTTTCAACCTATACTCAGAGGACATAATATCCAAGGCTCTGCATGACCTGGACTGCGGCGTTAAAATAAATGGACGCAATATCAACAACTTACGTTACGCCGATGATACAGTCCTAATAGCGTCTACAGCAGCTGATCTTCAAGAAATAGTCGAAAGGTTAGAGGGATGTAGTAGTGAGGCTGGTCTCAAAATGAACATAAATAAAACAAAGTTTATGGTCATTTCCAATACGTTGGATACCACGACGAGCATAACGGTGTCAGGCCAAAATCTAGAAAGAGTTCGGAAATACAAATACCTGGGGACATGGCTAAACGAGGAATGGAATAGCGACTTAGAAATAAAGACGCGTATCGAAATCACCCGTAGTGCTTTTAACACAATGAGAAAAGTACTCTGTAACCGTAACATTAACATCAAGTTACGAACTCGTTTGCTCCACTGTTACATCTGGCCCATTATATTGTACGGATGTGAGGCTTGGACCATAAAAGAAGACCTTCGAAAGCGTATAGAGGCTTTCGAAATGTGGACGTATAGACGCATGCTATCCATAAGCTGGACTCAGAAGGTCACCAACGTCAAAGTACTGGAACGGATTGGCCAGAAACGCGCACTCATGCTCACCGTAAAGCAAAGAAAGATCTCCTACTTGGGCCATGTTCTTCGACATCAGCGATACAGTCTGTTGCAGCTCATCATGATGGGAAAGGTCGCTGGAAAGAGGAAGGTTGGCAGAAGAAAGAAATCGTGGTTACGAAACATCCGAGAGTGGACCGGAATAGCCAGCGCCGCTGAGTTATGTCGCAGAGCTATAAATAAAGAAGACAGTAAAAAGCTGATAGCCAACCTTCACTAGTTGGAGAGGCACTATAAGAAGAAGAATAACTAGCGTTAAAATTTTTGGAAATTAGGTCAAGGTGTTACTTCTATGCTGTACTATGAAGAATGTCATGAATTTACGCTATGGAATAATCTAGTTTCGTTAAGCGTTTAGTGCCACGGAAATTTCAACGGCAAATATCTTGGAAGCATCTTATTAACTTGTCAAAGTGAAGTTAAAGCCAAAAATGAATAAATAAATATCATTTATTTATTTTTGCTATGACTAAAAAGGGATGAAACAAAACAAAATGTGAAATTATAAAATAGTAAAGTACTGCCTTTTTGTATGTGTACTTAAATCCTCGTACTACATACATACTAGGAAGATCAAGGTAGAGACTTACCAATAGGTTTTATTTCATAAAGTAAATTGTTCCGTTAAAATTGAGTTTAGGAACATTTCTATGTCAAAAATGATACACATGAAATATGTTTTTCAGGTTCTGCAGACAAATGCTAAAATGGAACCCTTATAATTTCGTCATGACTGTTTGTCCGTCTGTCCTATTCTCATTACTGAAGGTAGGTAGGTTTCTTATATGAACCGCTGCGTTCTTTCGCCACATTACAATAAAATAATAGGGTGGCAAACTACACAAGTTTTATTGTTAAACAATTTTACCTCCACATAAACCTGTATGGCATAATAAAAATAAGATACTCGTATATTTTAGATTTACAGTAAAATATAAGATGTTTTTTTATATATTAACTAGTGACCTACCCTCGCTTCGTTCGGGTTCATCCCTAGGTGCGTTTGAACGGTTAGTATGAAATACAAATTTTTGCATTTCTCGACTTTTCTGTACTATAATATGCATGTATTATACATATAAACCTTCCCTTTGAATCACTCTTTCTATTGCTGAAAACTGAATTAAAATCCGTTGAGTAGAAGAGAGAAGAGAACAGACAGCGGAAGCGACTTCATTTTATACTATGTAAAACGCGCGCGTTATCGTTCGGCTTATTAGCTAAACAGTGGGCAAGACGGTGCGGGGGAGGGTCGGCGATTGCATCAAGCGAAGCGAGATGCTTAAATTTTATTCTCGCGTCCGTAATTTTTTTGCGATTACTCCTAAGATATTCATTTAAATTCATTTAAATTAAATGCTTAAGGCTAAACTTATTTAAAATGATAAAGATTAATACCGTATATGTGTAAATAGCTTTTACATTACCGCATTACAATTGCTTTTTTTTTAAGTATTAAAACGGATATAGTGTCTTATCCTTAAGAGATAGACATATGCCATCGTGGAGTTTCCTGTAATCCTATATAAGAAGATACACAATTCCACCATACATTATTTTGTTATATCTCAAAGGGCTTAGGCAGCGTTTTCGTGGAAAGCTCCCAGACGGCTTATTTTTTTCCGACACATCCAACAAATATCGTTATATTTAGCCAATGTATACAAAACCTTAACAAATTATATACTAAAACCTTCCTCGAGAACCACTGTATCCATTGGTGAAAACAAAATGAAAATCGGTGCAGTCATTTTTGAGTTCATGACGAATAGACAGACAGACAGATGCGGCGGAGGACTTTGTTTTATAATATGTAGTGATACGTGTCGACATAAATAAATAAACATACACGTACATAGGTGGTCTGTTTGTACGTATGTTTGTATTATATGTTTTACTGTGAAAGGATTTCTGGGAGTGTTTTTTTTGAACTTGAATTAAATAACAACTGGATAAAACTTTATTTAAATAATTTATAATATACACTAGATTCTGCCTGTAGCTTTGCTCGCGTGTGTACCTATTACTGTTTGCCTAAACAAAACAATCACGAAGCCTGACCTCCTTTTATGTAACCGCGCCGGATGGGAATTACAAACTGCACCTTTAGGCCCACTGAAATGTTTAAAATTAAAGATATGATTTTAATTCAGATTTATCACCTGTACAATAAAATAGGGTCCATTTAAATCCGTTTAGTTGATTTACAGCAGTGTGCGCTACTAGGTATATAATAGACTTACGAAAATACCTACTTATATTATCCGTTTTTTTTTTCTTAAAAAAACACATAAGAATTCTGTTCCTAAACATTAAAATATTTTTTAAGATAGTGTAATTTTTATAAAATTGAGCCTGATCACATTTGTTAGTATTCTACCTATATATAAGTAAGCCATAGGGTACATATATTATGTCGTTATGATTGTGCATATATAATATAAGGCTTTCTTGGAAAACCTACGTCTGTATAAAACACTCGGAAGAAATCCTAACCGAGCTTTCAATTATAATGAAAACATACCGCACGTCACTGCAGAAATGATAACAAAACAAGTAGAAATTAGTTTTCTCCACGTGTTCTTTCAAATTCACAAGTGCTTAGCTAATTAAAAAATAATATATTAATTCACCTTTTTTAACGTCACACTGTTGAGCTTATTCAAGTTGACAAAGTCCTTCCTCTTTCAATGCGCATGTCACTTGCGTTGGAAAGCAAACTTCTGACGGATAATCAAAAACTACTCAGGTCCTCTCAGAAATGCAGGTTTCCCTTCGTTGTTTTTTAGGAAGTGGTAATCATTTTGAATGATTAGCACATGAAAGATACGAAGTCTATATTGGCTAGCTTCACTTGGTTTGTGCAATTCCTGAGAATCACTTTGTGAAATATAGGTATGGCAAATACAATTAATATTACCTATTACTTTATAAAAGCTACTTTATAAAAAAGGCAATTTAAAAAGTTATTTCAATTAAGTAAGCTTAAGAAAATAATATTAAAAACATAACTTGGTTTTCTTTATATGAGCCAGAGAAAGACTACATTACGTGCCTGTGTTAATGGTTCCAGTGGGATACTATTATATCGTATACAGGTAGTATTAGATGTACTTAGTGCCTGAACAAAGCGGTAATTAAGTAGTTATTAATATTTTAAGGTATCATAAAGGCAAGCATTCATTATTAAGTAGTGTTAGTTAAATTATTGTAAAGTAACTTAATTTTGTTAGTGGAAAATTAATGAAAAATAATAATGTGTGTGTGTGTGCATTCACATATGGTAGAAGTGAAACTTCAGAAAAGGAACCTACTAGAGAATGAGATAAATATAAAGTACTAGCGGCTCACCCTCGCCTAGCTTGGTTTCGCCTCTAAGAAAAAGAAAACGAAACTATCCCACGGAAACCGTACATTTTTTCGGGATAAAAATATGTACTTATGTGTTATTTCAGACTATAATCTATCTCTGTACCAAATTTCGTCCAGATCCATCTAGTCGTTCTGGTGTGAAAGAGTAACAAAAATCCATACTCACAAACTTTCACATATAAATAAAGATGAATCACCGAAATGTATGTATGCGCAAAAGTTCCGATGGACGGCACCAAATTGGATAATTCTTTTTTTGTGTGTTTGTTATTATCAGGACAAACTTTGTATAGAAGAAAATTAAAAGACTTTTTTACTAAAATAAGATTTTTTTAAATCTCATGATATAAAAAGTGAGTGAGTGAAATAGTTTTTATTCCAGTAAATCCTTTTAAATGATATAAGGTCTGAAAATATTTCAAATATAAAAAAATGGATTTATTAATATAATCCTAGAATCATAAATGCTAGTTAATTTTGTTTTGCCTCTAAAAGCTTTCGTAATACACGGGGACATCCACCGCGGCCACATCTCCGTATGAGTGATAGCAATTTGTGAGAGCGCGACGTATGAATTTGCAGGAATGACGTCATTACGCTATCTGTCGGCCTACTTCGCGGACTGTAGCGATACAACGCACATAGTGACACAGCTGAAGAAGATTCAAATATTTAGAAAGAAAGAATATTTGAAAAATATATAGAAACCAGCGAATACTTACGTTTTAACTTTTAGTATAGATTTCTCAGAATGATATATTTTCCCGCAGTAAAAAGACTTCTATATGTTGACCCGGATAACCAGCTATCATCATACTAAATTTCATCAAAATCCTTCCAGTGGTTTTTCCCTTTTTTTCTGTTTTTTCTCTCCCACGGGAAAATACAATAACTAGTTTTATCGAGTCCTCTGGCTAAACAGAAAGCGTCCGCTGGCTAAATCTTAAGACATACGTCAAAACAATGTAATAAAAAATTCTAGATTTCGAAAAGACCTATAGAAAAGTAGTATAATAAAAAGGGCTGAATACAAAAAGACTAATTAGATCTGTGAACATACTTCAAATTTTACGATTTTTTTCTGATTTTTTCAATTACTTTCTCGAACTCTTTATAAAAAATTACGAGACTACAGCCGTCTTTGAGAAAAAGATGAACATACCTATTTTGCAAGTCGGTTAAACCAGGCTCTAAAATCTATTTCCAACGTATTGGGATTATTAAATCAAACCAAATGAGCCCAAATTCAAACTATTTACTATGAGCCGTTAAATAGTTACCTTAACCATTTTTTGGCCTCAGCAAATTAGGCAAATCATATCAATCTTATCAGATCAGATCCAAAATACAAAATTGTTATACTATCATCGAAATTACAAACACTTGTAAAGTTTCAAGTTGACATGACAATTATAAGAATTAGGTAAAAAAATCTAATTAAATCTGAAATTACTTGAAATTTCATGTGTTATCCTGATTTTCTCGATATATCTTATATATTTAAACGAGCTATTCTTGTATATATATATATATATCAATATATAATCTGAATCTCGGAAACGGCTCCAACGATTTTCATGAAATTTAGCACACAGGGGGTTTCGGGGGCGATAAATCGATCTAGATTAGTCTTATATCTGGAAAAACGCGAATTTTCGAATTTTCATGCGATTTTCTTTTGCATTTTCACAATTTTTGCATCGTCACTTCTGGTGAGTGGGCGGCGCCACTGTGCAACTGTCAACATCGTGTCCGTATTTACATCAAGTTTAAATATATTTAAGTGAAAATAATCTAAACTTCTAAAGAAAAATTAAATCTAATCTAAGTAAATTTTAAAATAAAACCCATGGGCAATATGTAAACATCACCAAGTCTTGATGTGTTGAAGAACAAATCAGCTTTTAAAAATTCACCTACCAAACAAATACAAAAGTGACAAACATAACTTATAGATACTATCAGTGCAAAACCATCTTTTCTGTGTGTGATGACAATAAAACAAAATAATTTGTGAATTGAAAGCGTCAAATATTAAAACATAAGTTTATAACCTCAAAAACTAATAGGTACTCGGTATAAAATTGCAATTCAACTAGGTATAATTGGTGCTCTTTTTTTATCAGCTTTTCTACTTTCAACTTCAAACATAAGATGGAGGACATAAAAAAGTTGCTAATAAACATGCAACAAGAAATAAGACAGCAGAAAACAGAAATGTTAGAAATGTTAGAAATGAAAGAAGACATTAAAAATACAATCAACAATAATATACTTAAATGAGAAATTTAAACAGTTAGAAATAAAAATTGAAGTTCTTGAGAAAAAAAATCCAGGAACAAAGTAC